TGGTCAAAAAAAGGAAATTGTCTTCACTATATAATCTCTTCATGACTCAGTGGGTATCTTTCGTGGTTATTGTAATGGTTGAGCCTGTTTCTCTTGTGTATGTAATTTACGTTGTTTGATTTAAGTAGCTATCGGGAAAAATAATACATGCTGACATCTTTTTGTTTTGGAATGAATTTCGATTACGTTTAATGCTAACATTGTCATTCATATAAGTCTTTCCTGTTAAAAACATCTTTCTGTTAATATACACTTGGTCTTTGATTGGCCAATGTAGATATGTAACTGTGAAGCTTAAAAAAGAAGCCGTCGAAACAAATATTCTTTCGCTAAACTTTATTTGTGTCTTGACTAATAGATGGACTTGCGTTGAGAAACTTAAGATCTCATTGGGTTTAAAGAGACAACTGGAATCGGTAATGGCAAATCCTAGGAAATATGGCTTAAAATCGATCGCACTGACGCAGATAAGTTCTCAATGAGTATTGAAAATCCTGTTATCATGTATCTTACTCCTTTTTCTTTGTGTTTTGGTGTCAGTTTTTCTTAGGATTACTAGGACACATTTCTTTTGCTCATCTTTCGGCTTACTGACTTTATTCAGATCATAATAAACTGAACCGGCATACAATTATATCAGGTCTTTAGTTGCTTGATTTCGTCCGTCCACGTTGATTTCATATGCAAGTTATATCTTAGTTTCTGTTTGTAGATTACCGATGATCCTAATAGTTTGGATAAGTGCAATCGTGGGATTGTGTTTTCTATTATTTAGTAGTAATATATCCTTAAAGATGATGTTAAGCTCTGATCGCCATATTCAGTTGTCATATGGTAACTAGAAAATTTGAATCTGCTATATCTTATATGAACCCAAAATTGAAAATAACTGTTTTTTCAGAATTTCCCATCGTGACAAGCGATAAGGCGACTAATTACACCAATCAGTTTGTCTATACAGAAATCAACTCAACTTTTCTGAGAATTAACTATGCAAAGCAGTATCATTACTTGTGCCTGATTATCCTTCCGGAACTTGGTTTGACCACATTTTTGACAGCGAAATTCAGTATGAGCGCTTTCCGACCGATTGCTGTTACACTAATGTGGTGGTTGGGCTCGCATATCCCAATTACCAGACGAGCTACGCTAGTAGGAACATTTATTGCTTGAGATTTTATCGTAACAAAAAGCATTTTTGGATATTGATAGGACAAAAAGTGGTTACCATTATGGTATAAATAACTAAACTCTGATGGGGTCCCGAGGGTGAAGTCGTACTGCTGTATGGCTCGGGTGGGACAGCAGTAAGGCGTTTTCCACGGATGACCGGCAATCCCATGTTGATTCTGCCTTTCCTATAGCAAGGAGGAGGGCGGATTAAGTCGACCCCTAAAAAAGCTCATCACCTTCTGCCTTATGACTTCCCAACGCTGGCGATCCGGGTTTTTATTGCCTAGTTTCAACACATTCAGACCTAACTCTCAAAAATTAAAAAATGCCGTTTGTGACCGGCCGCAAGCAGCTGCTGTGACCATACACCACTGTTAATAATGCAACCTCAAGAATAAGTAACTTTCTGGTGTGACCAGCCAGAAAGCATCAGACGCCCTTACAACTCTGTTGGTTCCCGGTTTCAATCAAATCATTATCAACCTTCCATATCTCCAACCTCGACATTTTCTTCATGTATCTCAGTCAATATTCCCACGTCATCTTTAATTTCCTCTAACTCTACAGACCTTGACAACGATTTGAGTTCACAAAGCAGGATTAGTGATCTCCTGAAATCGAGCTCCAAACGATATATTGGAGCTTTCAACGTTCGCACCTTGCGTCAATTGGGACCAGCTTTGCTGGTCAAAACTCTAGCATCTTCCACTACGAGCGTGTGATGTGATTATGAGACACGCATACGCATCGCAAGTGTGGTTATTCACTTAATCTCACCTGGTCAATATGAAATTCACCTTCAGAGTTTCTGGAGTTACGATGACCAGTTTCCGCACTCTTACAGGTGTTAGTGTAGCATTTAGTGAAAATGTAGAAAGCATACTCCTCTACTGGATCCCAGTTGACGGTTGCTTGTGCATTTCTCGACTGAATGCTGTAGTGGAAACCAAAGTAACTAGTGAAGTTTGTAGTTTTCGCTCTGTGACCTCTGATTACACACCCACTGACTGCAGTCCAGATGCGATGAAAGACGAGTTTTACCAGAAACTATCTAGCCTCCTACTAAAAGCAAAACATTGAGATGTAATGTAATGGCATGTGATTTCATTAGACGAACATGTTGGTTAGACCAAGCAGAAAGATAGTTGGTTGGCACTTTCGGAATTCCAGCCAAATGTACAGATAATGGTGGTCGCTGTTACAGTTGTACTCATACAATCATCTATTTTCAGTCAGCATGAACTTTAAACATAAAAAAGACATTGTTTGACGTAGCGTCAACAGACCTCAACTCAACAGTGGATGCATAGACCATGATGCTGGCAGTTATCGTTAGGGACGGTTGGTCGAGGATCGCCGATTCTTCTGGAGGACTTGTTTAAACGGTAATCACGCGTTAGTCCGAGCATCAGTATATGTGCACCTAAGTAAACGGAAAAATTACAAATGCATGCAATTTGGGATCCAGCTTGGTAATGACATTACTTAGACTGCTTTAAGCGAGGAACGGGCTGGCGGACAGTTGTCGGAGCAGAGCGACGCCATTAATCCTGAAGAAGTATGGTATCATCTTCTGTCTCCCATCGGAGAAATTTTAAAGATCGTAACTGAAATCTGGAAAAAAGTTGGAAAGATCCCGTGAATTTTAGTTGCTTCTGAACTACTGGATACGTGTGAAGGCATTCTCGCATGTTTAAGTACGCTGAGGAGTGGGAAACTTTAAATGTGGGCTGGTAGCAAATTTATACAATGAGTGTGAGTGACGGTAGACAGAAAGGGTTAAAGAGGTGGAAAGAGTACCACCTTAGGTAGTACTAGGCAGTCATTCAGACTTAACAAAGAAACTGGTGGAAAAAATCAATGGTTAGTGCAACAGCAGGGAAGGTTAGGTTTACGAACTGAACTGGCCTTCAGCTTCTGACCTAGGCCTTCCAACTCTTATGGAAGTTGAGGTTGTAAGTAACTTCAAAGAAGGAAGAGAAGGAGGACCAAACTGACCAGTAGAGAGATATTCAAGGTCGGTTTTCGACGATAATTGATTTACATTAGCTAGCGTATAAGTGAATGAATATGAAGCCTTCTGACTGGTCTCAGTCGCTGATTATCACAGCCTTCAAAAAAGAGGAATTTATCTGTAATAGCCGTCAGGGAATCGTTTTGACGAACATATTTGCGATTCTGATTTCAATAATCAGTAGACGCCTACGAGAAACTCGGGGACAGTGAACCCAAGAAAGTTTCGGACATGTTCCTGATTTTATTTACTAGTTGTTCATTCTCAACCACGTTTGGTTATGTAAGCACACTAACCCATACTTGATATTGTCTAAATGCATTGAGAGCGGCATTTGACTCGGTCGATCGAGATCGAGGCAGCATGTCACGAAAACAAAGTCGGGATAGGTACATCACCTTGTTGAGTGGTGTGTGTTGAAAGGGCATACTCTATTCCTACGTACTAAACATTTCCACTGATATACATATCAAGTTTACCACTCTCCTAGTTTGATTATACACAGGTTAGCCTGGCCATGGGTGACAGTTTTATCTAAGAGTACTCAAATCACGTAGTACCTGCAAGTGAAAATGGCAATAAGATGTCAAGTACTCTCAATGAATAGGATCTCAACACGTTTGTAAAATCCATCTCTCCTGCCTAGTGCAAAGTATTGCTAAAAGACTAGCATGGTCTGGTAATACAAATTAGAGGGTCAGTACGCGCTTAATTCTTCACCCGAATAATTGTACTTACCTCGTAAAGGGTTGCAGAGAGGGAAAGCTGTCGTTTGAAGTAGAGACACTAGCAGCGATATCGGCCAAGGAAGCTATTGTCAGCATTCCACGTTAATTTTGTCATAGACATGTTAATGGGAATAAATAAGGTTTAGCACCTCTAACTTTAAAGGGATTGACTTCCTTACTCCATGAAGGACACTTGCTGCCTTAAAGTAGTACACAGACAATGTATTATTGTTGGGCTAGGAGGTTGGACGCCTTGAGAAGTCTGGCTGTTCAGCACCTGTGAAGTGTAAAATGTTACTTCAAGACTAATGAGAACCTACTGTTAGGCTGATTGAGCGTGGGAAGTGAAGCCGTTGGTCACGTTGCCTGCTCCACTCACTTGGTTTTTTGATTGGTTCTGTTTCTTAATCTCTTTTCCTGATATGCTTTACGTTTTTGATGAGGTTATTTCTATATGTTGCTGTAGTTTTCCTCGTGCCTTATCACTGGTAGCTTTTTTGAGTACTTTTCTTTGTCTGATTTTTTACTTGCGTTTGTGGATGCTTCAGCTGATACACTGTTTCATCTGTTGTTTGATTTTTTTTCGCTTTTTGTGTGTGATCTTGAATTTATTTTATTCACTTCCTCTTTACCGGAATTTCACTTATCTTATGGAGTGCCCTATGTTCCACTAGGAACCCAAGGGACAAGTAAATAAATAATATATGGAGTGCTCATGTTTTATCTGGTATTCGAGTCCTTTATTCTTTCTTTTGATGATGCATAAATGAAAGTGATATCAGGAACTAAGTCATTTGGTGACTGATTGCTGTTGCACAATGGGTGGTTGTCGTGACTCAGCCTCCTGGACGAACTTTTGAATTTCTAAGCAACTGTTGCTGGCTTTTAATCTTAGTGATAGTATTAAAACAATGGGATTCAGATAATTTCGGTTTATTCATCTCAAATATAATGTATTATGCCTTGAGAAATTTAGATTTGGTCCTGATAAATCAGATCATTTGCTCATTGGTTATCTATAGTCACATACTTAGTTTTTGAGGTGAACATATTTATTGCTGTGATCTTTTTCCGTTTACTTTCAGTGACTGGGAACCAGAAAGCAGTATTCTTTAAGACAATGGTGGAAATCAAGTTGATGTAAAATTCGGTTGATTTTTTATCATACCTAACGTTTTTCCAACAAAGTTGTGTCTATACTTTCTTAAGGTGTCCGGAACATCTGGTTGAAGCTCAAGGTTATGATAAAAGTCAGTTCAATTACTACTAACATGCATATCTGTTGAAGCGATGTTGATTATTACTTTTTGTATCTCACCAGTAGCATTGCATTTTTGCAGTCATTTATTTTACATAAAATAAGTACTGTTTTATAGTTTTTTGTAGATAGTTTATTTCAGTTGATATTGGTATAATATTTGGTTGCAGCTGGATTTATGTAAATAAAGCAATTATTTTGAAAATTCGTCACCTCTTGTATTCATTAACTTTAAGCATCTTGTATCACGAGTAAGCATTGTTCATATGGTTAATTCATTTGACAACATTGATCTCAGACGAAAAGCTCCAGGTTGATGTGTATCAACTATACCAAGCAGTACTCTTTCGAAACTTCAACTGATCATTAATTTTCTTTTGACTGTTTTCAAATATCTAGAATTCGATCAACACTCTGAATTACCTCAGTTTTGCATCGGTTGAACACTTCAATTAAGAAAGACGTATTCTTGATTGAATTTTTAGTTCTTATCACATATGTATAAAATAAATACTAATAGTATTTCATCGAAATGCGAATACTTAAATTTCCGCTTTCCAAACAGATATTCACGGTTGATACCTTGTTTTTTCAGCCCATCAGTTATAAAGTTGCAGAAAAAAAAGCAAAAGCTCAGTGCAGTACATCTTCATTCTACTCTTTTTGGGTTCTACGGAACATTTTCCTCCTCATTTCTATGTTTCACTACCAGTTAACTTTATTCACCTTCATTCTGTCGAATATTGTGATCCCAGATTACGAACCAAGTCAATGCAATTCAGCTATCAAATAAATGCAGGTCTTTGCACTAGGCTACGAGCCATAAGTAAAAACGAATTACACTACTTGACTTCTCATGCCTTGATAAGTGGTTCGGTGTTCCAAAGTGAAACCAAACCGTTCAGTGTTGTGAACACCCTGACCGAAACTGCAAATTAATCGAACTCAGGTTATCTCGACTATCATTCTAGGTATTTTCAAATGTTCCGAATTTTATGGATTAGGTTAATGCTATATTCTGTTACTCCTTGAATTTCTGTCGCGATAATAACAACTGAAAATAATAAAACAACCAGTATAATTTATGCATTAGCTAATATTAACGGAGAACGAGACAAACAACATTCTTAATTTCAATGTATTACCAATTTATTTGTGTGTAACTGTAGCACACCTTGACTCAAACAATTAAACGTTTTCCAAATTGGAGATAATACATACTTATCCTCAGCTTTGCTTTCTTTCTGTTTAATATATTCATTTCTTGGTCAGTTAGAAAACCAGTATGACGTTTTTTAATATTACATCTGTAAAAGAAAGTTGGATAGATTTATGAAAATCAAATTCACGTGGGAATCCTGTATGTGTGTAGAAATGATAATTTCAAATTATTGTGTAAACTGAATCTGAAAATTAATAGTTGTATTAGTGTGTACACCGCTATGTTGTCGAAATGCTCCGTTCCACTATGGTGTGATGACTGTATATGGATATTAACTTTGAATATAGTTAAGAAAACTGTTCGTTTGGTGAGGGAATTTAAAATACACATGCTAACCATTAATGTAGATGTACGCGTTTCCCTATTGGTATGTGGATATCTCCAGCTGACAGATCTCAAATAGGAAGTACTTCCATCTTAAATTCGGCTACTAACCACACTAAATAAGTAATACTAACAGCTAATTATATATATATATATATATATATATATATATATATATATATATATATATATATATATATATATATATATATATATAATATGCAAACCAAGTTTAATGAGTTCAATCATTTCAGGTGAACATCAGGAATGTACAAAATTTAAACTAGAACATTATATCTATCTCATGTTTAACCTGATAATATAAAAATAAAATATTTAAGGTAGCAGTCACTACGACTGACATAAATTGAAAAAACAAGGAAAACCTGTAAGCACAGGAAAACGGTTTCGTCTTAGTATGAAACTCCTCAGCAATGTGTGATGAACGCTACCTTACATATAAAATTCTCATTAACTCAAAATGCAATAAAATATTTATTCTGTCTTGATTTTAATTAACCAGTGCAAGATTAGGAATTTAGCATTTCGCAAATGTATGTAAAGCATTCTGTTTACAAATCACCAGATGAATTTTTTTTAAATGAATGTATGTTCGCCATCTGTTATCTCACTGTATTTTCAAAAACAAGCTATTTACTCTTAGCGATCAGTTTTCTCTTATCAATTCGGATATTGTAGACGATGCACAGTATCAATTGATATTGGTGTATCAACGACAACTTGTCAATCAGGTGGAATTTAATTAGGTAGTTCTCAGTTGTGAGCATAAAACGAGTAAATTCCATAAAATATTAGATTAGTCTATTTGATGTAACACACAGTGACGTGGTATTATTTACTATGTGATATATGCCAGGTGGACCAAGCTAGTACAGAAATACATTCCATCACAGTAACAAAATTCTATAATTACGTTTTTTTAAAACAATATTTAATTTCAACGTTTTTACTAGGGGTTCAATATTTTCGATACTAGTCACACTACATAAAGGGAATGAATTGTTGGCTCATCTTGGTAAGATTTGTTTCCTTTAACCCATTTATTGTTTTATTGATAGTTTTAAAGAATTACCAGTAAAACTATCAGTCTGAAGAATTAGGATTTGTAACCGGAAATCTTAATTATGGAAGTCTTAAAAGTCAGTTACCTACGGAATTAATCCATAAGGATTTATAGATATGCATTTTTAAGTCTGTTTTTCCTTCAGATTACCAATGTCTACCGTCAGTAGTGCTATAATAAAAACTTGCCAACGTAGGAACTGACACAAAAATTGTATCAGTCCAATTTCTCACACTCACCATCAGAATACAAAAAAAAAGGCAGATGTGAAAAGAAAAACACAGGTGTATGGCGTGACAGCATAAATAGTTGCAAATGCTGAAAATATTCATGTGCATCTAAGCCATTGTAATCGATTTTGAAGTCTATCAAGAAATGTCCAACTGTTGATTTCTATCATCACAAAGCCCAGGCCAGATGGTTTAAATCTTCCTACCTAAAGTAGATCAGCAATCAACAAAGTCATGAATTAGTACCATGTCTTACCTGATCCATCCTTAGCCTTCTTCTATACTTTTCTGTTTCAGCTAAAATAAGTCGATTGGGTGTTGGCTCAGAATTTAAAACCTATGTCCAAGCAAAACAAAATCAGTGGGGCTTCACAGGTTCGTTTGCTGACTTACTTCCTTGCCATTACTCTGCGGTAGCGTATGAAACGTTCACAAGATAGTTCCTCAATGAGAATGTTGATATTTTAGGTTCCAATATTTCATTTTTAGTGCGGTTTCTGGAAACTGTGATTTCTGTTGAATGAACTTGAATCGTTATCCAAGTTCAAACACCGAGAAGGAACACTAACGGAGAGAATTGAAGGAAGATTAGAAAGGCCGGTTACACACAATCATTTCCGAATTTCGAGATTTTGGTTTCATTACGTTGAATTCATACTATAATAATCCATACCGCCTTCATCGGAAAACCGCAGGTTGTGAAAGAGTACGCCATTTTGGGACCAACCTTTTTGAATTCCACATCTGCGTGAGGAAGCAAGTACCAGCATAGCTCTGTCTGTCATACACACGAAACAGACTACTGCTTTTCCCGTTCAGCTTTAACTCCAACTTCCCCACCGGACTACAGTCATATTCTAACAATTTATACTATAATATTAAATGCTTAAAACCTGTTAGCGTCCGAGGTGGAATTTCGTCAAACGTCTAGCCACCCATCCGGATACAATTTCCCGGAAGGTGAAGCGGTCAACCACTTCACCAATATAAGTGTAAACTTGACCATAACGGTAGGAAGTAATCCGATACTAGAGCTGATTATTTGATATATAACACAGTCATATAGTATTATTTACTCAATGATGTTTCGAGCATAAGTTATTGCCCATAATCATATCAATGTAGTCACACCTCTTTCGACAATCAATTTCTGTAGTCCTCTGACCTCATATTTTTTGTTTTTATTGGTAGTAAAGTTTTCTATCTCTGGTATAGGTACTGTATCATTCCTATTGCATGTGTTGATTCAGTGAACAAAGATTCAGTAGTCAATCCCTGTCTATCTTTCCAGCTAACTATATTAGCCTCAAGCACATTTGCTTTATCCCACCCTGTTGTATGGTCGTGCGTTAATGCATCCATTGCAATAGCCGAGGTTTTAGAGATTATCAATCTAGCCAGATTCCTATGTTCCGCCAATCTAACTGACGCCGGCCGGCTAGCTTGACACGTGTTCTTGACCTCGCAGCCATTGAATGGAATCTGATGGATTAGATTATTTTGCTTAATAGGTTCTACCGGAACCTTAAGCCGACAAAGCTTATCTCTGAGTGGGTTTGTAGGTTTAAATGCCACCCTAATTCTAGACTTGTTGAGAATCCTACATAAGTTTCTGATGTTCCTTCTTTATGGGGCAACACAATAGAGACTTTGAACACATTTCTACTCGTGTTATCGTTATTATTCGTACTGTTGTTACTGTTATTATTTCATTTCATAATAAATCGCAGAAGTTAATTATTAACTATTAGCACTTCTTTACGTTCTTTAGTTCTTTCTTTAGATCCTTGCACTGACTGGTCACTTTTCTAGCTCTATTATTTAGACATCTGACTAAACTCTCCGTAACTAACACTGAATAAGATGACCTGAATTTCAGATACCTGTTTCCTGTAGACGGTAGTATCCAAGCCATCGTATGTTCTTCGTTTTACTCTGCAATCCAACATAGCTAATTCTCCTTATTCATTTTCTACCTCGTAAGTGAACTGGACTGCTCCTACTACTAAGTTTATATATGTGTGTAGATTGTCGATATATTCCAAATTCAACGCAGTAAATGCGTCATCCAAAATCCTCATCATATCCAAGGTCCAGGATTAAACGTTTGTAAAGCCATGTTTTCCCAACTATTCATAAATATATCTGCCATAAAATGGATATTGGCTATTCCATTGCTACTGCTTCTGTTTGTCGATATATTTTGTCCTGAAAATTGAAGACGATGAAGGTCAGACACAACTGTACGCCTAATATGATTTCATCAGTCGATATCCTAGTTGTGTAAGTTTTGATTCAATATTTAGTTGATTTCTGACTGCCTTCAGTGCCATACTGAGTGGTATTTTAGTATAAAGACTTGTTAGATCAAAACTAACCACTTTTTTATTCTCTTCTATATGTAGGTCACTAGGCCTTAGTTTTAACTCGTAAAAAATAAGAGTAGTTTAGAATTTGAATGGTTCTTAATAGGACATAATATTGATGCTAAGTGCTTTGATGGTTCATTTGTCGGGGTATTTCTGAAGTCAACTATGGGTCTAATAAGATAACTTGGTTATGAACCGTAACAGTACAGTAAATTCTAGAATCATTAGTTTTAGGCATTAAATTAAACCACCTCACCTTAAGATGGCTTTAGTCGCTGCATTAGATCAGCTGTAAATTTCTAAATTTTATTCAAGACCATGTCGCAAAGTTTCTTAATCTCCTCATATTGTCCTGTTGAGACATGTTTTTCGATTTTGTTGAAATAATCAAATTTGTGCATAACTACTGTTGAACTACCCTCATCAGACCTACCAAATACTATGTTATTCTTATTTTGTAGAGTATTTATAGCTTAATCTCCAACCTCCGTTAATTTTCGTTATATCCTCTTTTCTTTCTTCAGTGCTCAAGCACACTGCTCTAACCTGTTCTGCAGTTACCGCATCCAAGGAGCTTAATACCACTTCTATGCTAGATATCATACCGTGGTACACCTTCCTTGCACCAAAATACAACCAGGGCTAAAATAAATATATATATCATGCTAACTAAATAAAACTTCTAGCTCGCCTCCGGATGCTCGTTTTAACGAGCATGCATCCGAGCAGGCTTCGGCGCCATTTGTGCTGGTTAGCACTCACGTACTCAGAATCCCTAGTTTAGCCATACTAGTCAAATAAGTTAAATAAACTTCCCCCCTATTCATTACTATTACATTTGTTCTAAATCAATATATTACTTCCTGAAGCCAGTTCTTTGATTTGTGTTTCGTTATCATACTTACAACCTAGTCTAGCTAAATAGTTCACTAGCCGGTCCTAAGCCCAGGTAGACAGGGAAATTTGGGCATAGGGCTAGCAACCCTACCCCGGAAAACAAATCTGACTGCTAAAGAAACTTCAAAACACAAAGAAAATAATAAACATGAAATTAAACTTATTCCTCGCTGGATCGGAG